AGTGAATGGGGTCGGATAGGGACTGATAGGAGGGGAAGGGTTAAGAAAAGAGTGATGAGATTAAACAGAGTATTTGCGGATCTGAGGAAGAAGGTTGTCACTTGAAAAGGTGGGAGATTCCGTAAGGATGCCCGACAGGTTGGGGGGTTGGGGAAAACACACACAAGGAAATAGGTAGTGGAGCAGCATTGTTTGGCAGGGCGGTAGTAGGCCGCCTACAGTAGACGCCAAATATTCATACATTGACGGGGGGGGGGGCGATGTCGTCGGATAATGGTTAATGGTTAAAATAAATGTGCTAGACATCTAAGGTCATATAGCACTATAGGAAGGTATAGTAAAGGGGGATGTCAGGTGATAGTTGCTATCTGTCAACTATCTAGAGTAGTATTGAAAGGTTGAAGATGAGGGAAAAAAATATTGTGGTTTAGGTAAGGGAGTTAGATCAAGTGAAGGATATTTATGCGTCTGAGAAAGAACAGGTTGTCAAGGCAGAAGCTGTGGGATTCTGTAAGGATGCCTGATATGTTGGGAGGTCGGTGAAGGGAGGATAGGTGTGAAAAGCAGAGGTAGGTGCTGTATAAAACTGACAGGACAAGAGAATGTGTGGAACTGAAAGAGGGACGTTACATAGAGATCATAGGGGCAGGTCTTAGCGTGACATCAGATAGGCGTGTGATATTAGGCGAGTGTGGCCAATACGTAAGCGTGCGACGGCCGTCTCCCAACATCTGTTTTTGTGAAATGGAGCTGACCAAGAGGAGATTGATGGTTTTACAGTATGTAATTTATTGTTGTGGAGTCTTGACCAAAAAGATTGCCATCGGGTATACAAGAAGGTTTTAAAGTGGGGGTAGTAATCCGTAGCTGGAATATGTGAGAAGCGTAGTTGAGGTGATGTGGACATTGCGGCATATCGTGCAAGAGTATCTGCCTGTTCATTGGCAAGGATTCCAACATGGCTGGGTACCCAGCAAAATCTGACCGATTTGTGACGTGTGGATATATAGAACAACCAGTTCAGGATCTTACAGACAAGGGTCGAGTGCATAGACTTTTTAAGGGTTAAAGAGTTACGGGAGTCAGTAAAAATAGTGAATGAGGAAGAGGAGGATGAGTATATGCGTCTTAAGGCAAAAAGGAGTGCATATAGTTCTGTAGTAAGGACACTAGATTCAGGAGGGAGGGTGTATTTGAAAGTGCAATTTGGGAATGTTACTGCGAATCCAGCTCCTGAGATGGATTTGGAACCGTCAGTGTAAACATGAATGCTGGAGGAATGAATGGAGACATGGTCAAGGAAATGAGTGAGAAGGATAGAGGGGGGAATAATTAATTTTGGTGGGTCAGGGAAAACTGAGGAGCAAATACAGGGGTTAGGTATAAGCCATGGAGGAATGGAATGTCGTCGGATAGAGAGGGACACTCCGGCAATATAGATTTTAAGGGGGAGGTCATATCTACGGAATGTAACCTTAGCAATATCGGTGGACTTATGGCGGTCTCTAAGGGGAATGGGGTAGCATTGTACTGATACTGCAGCATAGTCCAACAGGCAGGCGAGCAAGTCTTCTCCACAAACTGACCAATTCTTATTGTAGACAGGGCTGTTTGTTAGGGAGATGGACAGTTCCGGTTTAAATATTGAGGGAGGGATGAGGTTGTGCAAGAACTTTTCCCACACATCCTCTAGTACCAATTCCCATTTTGTATCATCCCAAAGAATGAGTTTTGCCAGTCCAATTTTTTTCTCTCCCTCCCTTCCCTTTCACTCCATAGCCTTTGACATCCCCCAATCACATGCCCGTTTTTGAGTGAAGTCAATTAGGGGTGATCATGCTTTAGCTTGAGATTCGGACATAACTGTGACAAAGGCGAGAGGAAACTCTGCCTAATTGATTTTGAGGTATTGCCTAACGAAGAAATAAAGGAGGAAGGGGGTAGTAAATGAAGAAAGCTGTGAGGTTGAGGAGCATTGGGTCCCGGTCCTCGTCTCCTAAGCCCTCCCCCCACGGCAAAAACGGGCATGTGATTGGGGGATGTCAAAGGCTATGGAGTGAAAGGGAAGGGAGGGAGAGAAAAAAATTGAAAGAGGATGCAAATAGCTGTACAAGGGGAAGTGGCTTGTAAGGGTTGTTGTTTTATAATGTTTTATGATGGACAAGTATGGAGGAGGCGCGTAGAGATGAGGGGATGATACAAAATGGGAATTGGTACTAGAGGATGTGTGGGAAAAGTTTCTTGGAGGCAGACAGTGGATGGGTTATAGGAAGGTAGGAAGTGACGATGGTCAGGTCTGTGAGAAAAGCAAACGACGAATATTTCACTGCAGAGAAACATTACGAAGTAATCAACGGGCAGTGAGGGTAGAAATGGGTGTCGTAGAAGTAGGATAAGAACCCGGGCAATGAGGTAGGGGATCAGGGGAAGGAGCTGCAGTGTCTGGAGGTTCATCTGGAGACGAAGGGTCCAGTGAGGGGCACTATTGGGACAAAAGGAATTCATGTGAGTATGCAGGAAGGAGCTGGAGGGATGACGAGGAAGGAAGCGGTGTTGGTATAGGAGGAGAGGAGAGGTGGTGGTGTTGGGAGGGAGTGGGCGGCAGAGGGGATGGTGAATATGAAGTCGATATGGTCTGACAAGATTCTCCGCCGATATAAACCTAACGGGGAAGTCATGTCTGCAGAAGGGAATCTTCGCAGTATTGATGTGGAACTTACGGCAACCTTTAGGGAAAATAGTGTAGCACTGTGAGGCAGACAAGCAGGTCGTCTTCACAGTATGACCTATCCTTGTCGTATAGAAGGCTATCAGCTGGAGAGCTTAAAAATAGTTCTGATACAAGTATTATATATGGGGTTGTCCAGGAATAGGTTTACTGGTGTGGTGCACATAAATGTTACTTTTTCTCTAATCCTTACGGACCCACTAAAACCCATAATCCCAAGATTAAGAACCCCTGGCTTAGAGGACGTAATCCATGCATTGAAAAATCCTATTAATATCGATAGTATTTTCTGTTCTTTATTCACTTTAAGTGGTATTGAATGTGTATACATATTGTCCGACATGATATTCAGGCTGGGTTGTCAGTGCTGTGCATGATAAGCTACGGTCACCCTGGTCTCCGAAAAAAGGGTCAGATCGACCCCCCTCCGTTTGTGCATTATGTAAAGTCAGGTCCAGTGTAATGAAGTCTTATTGGAAAGAAAGAAAATTTAAAAAGGCATGCTTCAGATATTAATGTCTTTTTATCGTGAATAGTATTGGAAGTACTTTTATTCTCTGATGACTGTATAAGAAGACATGAAACTCACGGTGAAAATGATCCAATGAATTTCATATTTAACCTTCGAGGAAAACAGTTATATACTGTATACGAAGGTTACATAGGCATGAATTGTCTTGAAGTGCGTCCACACTACATACAGTTAAACATATCAAAACTCACATTGAAGACTGTACCGTATTTCTATAAAAGCAACTCTATATTAATGAAAAGAACATTTAAATAATTACTTCTACTGTAAAATGAAATGTAGACACGAAATTTTGGTTAAGTTAATAAAAACCCATCTATTTCTGGGAATACTGTGTTGGTAGGACTATGTCTAATCTTTTAAAGCAAGCCATCTCATTTCATCTCTTACTTCATATTTGTATCATTTCTTTTTCCTAAGCCAGCTAGAACTTTACTGTCCTCTGATGCTGAGATAATGTAATAAAATAATAAATCCTGACAGATTTGTAACATCCACCAATCATCGATGCAGATTCACTGATAATAATATCCTGAATTTTAATCACTTTTTATTTTCATGAATTATCATTCTGAAATCATAAATAAATAAAATAAAAAATAATAATTTCAATTTGAAGATGATGTCGGGCCATCTTGAGGCAGCAACTTGGAATCCATTGTCAGTGAAGTATATCATCTATGGAGTGAGTGACGTGTTGTGAAATCCTCTTTATGACGAATAGATGATGCAGAAGACGGGGTGCAAGAGAGATTTTTGACATCCGAAAAGAAAACAGACGGTCATTCACCTATTTTTTGTCTTTCCAAATTATACTGTGAATCTGTTGAGATGAAGTGTGATGTCTTCTAGGCCATACTTCTTTTTGTTTTTGTTTTTTCCTTACTGAAGAACGACTGTCGAGGAAATGTGGATGAAATGCTTCACTTGAATTTTTCTCACTTGGACCTATCACACGTTGCAAGGTTTTAACAATTTAAGCAATGTGCATCTCATGAGGTCGTACTTGAACAATGTTCCCATTTATAATGTCTCAATATACTTATACATGCAGTATACACTAGGATCCAGTGATACATATGAAGAGCAACAATATATTAACTTAATGAGTATATGAGACTTATATCTGCATGACAAGTACACAGTAATTCTAAGGATACCTTCACTCAGACTAAATTAAGTCTGATATTATGTATATCAGGTATTTTTTTGTACTTTAGAAATCTATAGAACACATTCTACAATTCAAGATATTGCACATGAGCTCTCAGATAACTGGCTATGTATGAGCTTGCAAAACCAGTCAAGCAAAACCAACCCATTCCTTTCAGAATGGAAGTAAAGCACTCACTTCTACTGTGGCCTCTAACAATAAAGGTGTGGTGTGCTAAACCCTCACTTTTTGGTTGAAATAAATATTCTACATTACTGAGTAAAAGATGTACGGTGATACTGATTAGGGGTTATATTATAATAAGAATTATTGCACTCCCCAAATATGTGGTAGAAAATATCAAATAAAATTATCTAATTATCTTTCTCTTTACTTTCCTGCAAATAAATATTTTACCCAATCAGTCAACTATATCACTCAAAAGTAATGCTATAAAAAGACTACACTCTTGTGAAATCAAATCTATAACAAATTTTCTTCACAACCTATTACTTATGGATATAACAAGATATCTGTCCTTGTATTCTCTCAGTGGAAAAAAGAATAAAAAATAAAATTCTGCTAACTTGGGAGGAACAAGTTTAAACACACATTTACAAGGAAATTATGACTGTATTTACCACAAGTAACAAAAACATAGGTAGCAGTCATGAGTGGAGGGGACAGTAGGGGGGGACAGACCTCAACAGCATCACCACCAAGAGTAGACATGACTCAAAAAAAGGCTGAACCTGATTCACTCTTCTTACCTTTGGATAACACTGCCAAGATAACACATATATTAGACACACTAGCTAAACTGTGTCCTTGAGCAAGAAGCTGCTGTAACATTATTCTGTTTTTGTTTTTTTTATGTCGATTACTTGTGTATTACTTGACGCACAATGGTGTACAAGTTCTTTTGGAGACCTGAAGTACAAGGTTTGTGGCTTCATTGCCAACCATTCAATGATTTCTAACTTCTTTGAAAACCTTACCTTCATTCTCAACCAGGTAGCTTTATCAATATCCAGTGGAAAATAAAGAGGAATGGTGCATTACTAAAATACATAAAAAAAAAAAAAAAAAAAAAAAAAACAATAATAATAATAATAATAATAATCTACCTGGCCTGAGATGAGGTGATGTCATATATGGATATACAAAACTGTCATGCACATCAAATAATAAACTCAAAAACTTTCAAGTACCAACTTTCACACCTCTTTACACTAGGGATATCCATACACCGCCAAGGGAACATGCACGCGCTCTTTATCGGACAGAATCAGATTCTGTCAGTCAAGTATCACAAGAGAGAAGCAGTGCCTTTACCTGGAATCCAGCAAATGCCCCTCCATAAAATTAACAAATAACAAATTCTGCACAATAACTCAGAAAATAATATTATAAAATCAACTCTACATTTTTACAAAGTATTTTACCCTAGCATCTGTTCAAGAACACTCTCACTCCCAAGGACAGTATTATTCTATGTTCACTCATTCTTCAGTATACCACAACAGGGTACTATGAATGAAAGGGGGAAAAGAAATGGGGAAAATTCCTACTAATCTTCACTCTGCATATTTCTTTCAGTTCTTGCTGTGATGCATTGCATGTAGGTTAGTAATGCATGGTTTGAGAAAATGTCAAAACATAAAATAAATATTTTGTTTTTGGCAATATATCTATCAATGAATCCAGAATTACTGAATGATGCCCATTCACAAAATCATCTTCTAAATCACTTTTTTGAGATGAACATTCTCCAAACTTTCTTCTTTCACTCTTCAAAAGTCTCTTGCATGAACAAACTCAAAAGTTCACCCGGTCTATAAATATCCGACTTGCATCCACGGAACGTTTCTTATGCTTTGGCTGTTGCGTTTTACAGCCGCCTAAACGCTGTCTCGTCAAGTAGTATAAAAGTTGTCACGTGTTCCTTATTACCTAATCAAATCACATTTCCATCATTTTCAACATCTGCTGCTCTCTTTCCCACAGTTCCTTCAACTAATGCGTTTATCATGTCAGCTGAAGAACCTTGAGAATTCTACGAGTGCTCGCGTGATCTCCTTGGTGCGCTCTGCCTGTGTGACAGCCTTGTGGAACTCCACCAGCTGAGCTTGCGTTACAGCCTCAACACCTCCAGAGTTCTTTGTTGGTAGGACTTTCAACTTGGCTTCCAACCACAGGCAGAATTTTGGACGGTCAAACTGCATAATCTATTCAAAAGGAAAAGGAGGGAAATAATTCATATGAATAACATCTGTATATGTATGTGTATATGTACATATATGCATGTGTGAATGTAATCATACACATACATTCATTTATACATAAACATATGCATATATTTATATACATAAACATATGGGAACATGCACAAGCACACAAACTTGTTCTTAAAATCTATAAAATATTGAAAATAATGATAACTAAGGTTTACAATATTGTTCAACATAATACCAAACATTTCAGCTTTCTAAAAACATTTGAAAATGTAATCAAATAAAAAAACACCACAATTACATATCAAAACATGAATAGCCATATGAAATACTGAATACTACACTTCAGACACAACTAATTCCAATACTGCATATTCTAAACCCAATGCCGCCAGGAAAATGCAGCGCTGACTAGTTTTTTTTGTGTGTGAAATGAAATACACATGGATAGCTCAACCAGGAGTCAATTAGAAGACCTGATAACTTCTGATTTAAACTTTCCTTGAGTCTTCTGGAAAGATTCTTTTAACTAATGCTATTAAAATCAATGCTTTTCTTGTTATTATAAACATTATAATCATTATAATGTCATTATCATCATCAATAGCAATATTAAATAACAGATGTTTCCGAACATCAAGAAAAAGGTTAAATAGGTGAAATGGGTCAAACTACATTGACTCATTGGTGACTAAACACTTGTGGAGACATGTATGTGACTTGTTGAGCCATGTATGTGTATAAACTAAACTCACTGTGAGCATGGTATGTCTGCACATGCCATCCTCGGTGTCATTTGGTTAATGAAAGTAAAACAAAGTTGATAAAAGTATTCTAACACATAAATTTACAGAACATGTAGTTTATGCATTCTCTTTATTTGCTGAATTTTCAATGATTCTTCAGAACTTGCTGTGTCCATTCAGCAAAATGCATCAAAAGTTACATAATTCTAAAGACCTGTCTCTAACTAGTGTCTGATGAAATTTATATTGCAAAATTCACTGAATGTATTTACTCTTACACAAGTTACAAAAATAAGATATATATGGCCCTTATGCCTTTGTTCCTATAATCATACACGCCCAATCTGAGAGCTACCTCTGACAGCCTTGTCTCCTGTTTTGGTTGCAATCCAGTTGTGATTCCCAAGATTTTGTGTCTAGGTTGGCTTCCAAACATTATTAGCATGTTCAGAGTACATGATCTTATTCAACAAATTTCTTAAGCAAACATGCACTCTAGATCCTCATCCTCTGTGAAAAAATCAGTTCAAGAGTAAAGAATCCTCTAGCTCTGGGTCCGCTATTTCCTTGGGCTTGGCCAAACGGGGTCATAATTACTGACCTGAGTCTAGTTCCCAAACGATAAAATAAAAAGGAAACCCAGGATAAAAGGGAAATACATACCTGGTAAAATGTTTCAGCCACATCATGGTGCATGTACTGCGGGAGGATAAAGATAGCTGCAGTAATTAGGTTGCTAACTAGATTCTCTCCGTGAGTGTTGAAAATATTTACAACAAGCGTTCGTCTAGTTTCAAAGTCTGGTCGATCTTCGTGTTTCCTCCCAGCTTCTACAAGGTCTTGGAAGAACTTTAGCACAGCTGCATTTGCATCCTAAAAATAATGAAGAACATGAATCACATAAAAAAACAACAAATTTGTATCATAATTGCTAAAATTTCAATATAAAATACCAAAAAGACTGAATAATGTTTACTTACTTTGTGATCAAGCATACATGCCTGAAGACCACATTCAAGAATAGTATTTAAGGCAGAACACTGCAGGAATGCGACTGGAGCCCGTTGTAAGAACCTGTGAATGAAGTTATATCCTGCATTACTATCTGCAATTTCCACTCTCCTGTCCTCTAATTGTGTATAAAAGGGTATAACAATTAAACCATACTAATATTGAAACCTAAAATCCAGTATTGGATGTAGGCTTTCCCCAATCTGCACACCCCTTTGAGATATGGTTTGCATCAAAGGGATGTCATGGTGTCGTAAAAGGCAACTATAAGGACCCCTACCAACCTCCACTGGGTCATCGTGGCAGGATACAGCCCTATTCCTCCCTATGATGCAAACCATAAATAAGTGAGGTGACAGATTGGGGGAGGCCAATGTCCAACAACAGATTTTAAAAGGCTGAAAGATAGATAGAATATTGCAACACTTTCCTTCGCCTTACTCTTTACTCTACACAACTCTACAAAAAACTTACCTGGCACATAATCTGAACCAGTCATCAACGGTGTCAGGATGATTCCTAAATCCACTTGGTTGTGTAAGGAGTACAAAAGTTGGTTGCGTAAAGGCTTCAAGCATGGCAAGCAGCCCTATAACACAACCAGGTTCTCCTGCATACTCATCCACTAAAATGCTACCCAGGTACAAGAAACAGCTGTGGCCATGAGTTGCATATAGCCCTACAATCTGGAGGAAAAATTTATCATTAGTATTCAAAATACAGAACAGTGTTTTGTGTACACAGCAATCAGAAATCAGATATCAGTTCCCGCCAAGAATTTTTTTCCCCAGTTTGTAAGAAGCTTCAAAATTAAACACACAAGCTCAGAAATTCAAAGAAATATAAAAACTTCCCACCTGTTCTACAAGAGGTGACAAGAGCGGTGCTGACTGTTGATGGACGCAACGCACTGCAAACCGTAAACTACGACAGCAATGCTCCATTACCCGTAAATCTGAGCTATACCTTTGGAAAGTCATGGAGAGAGTAGGCCATACCTGGAAAAAAGTAAATCAATTGAAAATATAAATAAATGAAAAACTGAAAACTGAAAAAAAGATAATAAAATAATAAGAAAGTAAAAAAAATCAATAATAAAGTAAACTGGTCAATAAATACTAAAAACTAACAATAGAAAGACAAACAACTACTGAAATTCAATAATAAAATCAAACTATAACTTTGCACAAGCCAATGAATAGACAACTTTAATTCATTCAAACAAAAAATACATTGCAAACTCACCTCCATTACAACCTCTTGACATGGGTGCTGCTCTCCATTCTGTACAATGGGATTTACATTTCTAAAGATTGCCGCTAGCCGATCCAGCCACACTACAGGGTCAGTTTTCGTATTCTTTTCTATAGGAGCATTTTCCTGGAATTGTGATCAGTGCATTACAACCTCAGTGAGAGTAATTAAGAAAAATGGACTAAAGGATATATATACATTACATATATAAATATAAATATAAATATAAATAAAATATAAATGTGTGTGTGTGTGTGTGTGTGTGTGTGTGTGTGTGTGTGTGTGTGTGTGTGTGTGTGTGTGTGTGTGTGTGTGTGTGTGTGTGTGTGTGTACTTCACAGCCAAAAATCTCAAAAGTTATTGTTAAAAAGAATGCATTACTATAAAAAAAAATAATAATAATAATAATAAAAAATAAATAGATGAATAAAATAATAAATCAACAAACAAAATAAAAAACTCAATCTGAGGAGGATCATATACAAGCACTCCCACACTTACCTCCATTAGTTTTTGCAAATTTCTAACTTGAGATAAACATAACTTTTTCATATCCGTTTTTATTCTCTCCGGCGGAAATCTACCAAGTATTGATGCAACACCTTTCAGAAGTCCTACCACAGCTTCATTGCTTATGCTAAATGAATCGAGAGATTCTATGATTTGCATCAGTCCTTCAAAATGCTGCTCAATATGGTCACGACAACTCTGACATATTGCATCTAAGGCCTGCAAAGGAAATGCATATATAAGTGATACTTGAAATACTTATCACAATTACTGAATACCATTTACACATACAATTATATTTTGACCTCTTAACCACTCAGTGACAGTGATGGATATGACCTATAAATGCTTCATTACTCGCAGCGAGCTTAAGCCTAGCTACAAAGTCTAGAGTGTTGCGTAATATTACATCAAATAACTCAGGCCCCTTCACCATATGGATAATAAATCAATGACACCTTTTTCTGCTCTTCAAATCTCCATAAATCTATTTCCAAAAGGTTAAAAATCCAATTCTCCTTACACAATTACCAGTATATACCATGGTCACTTCTAAAAGTAAGACAAAGAAGCAAGAAACATGAATCTGGAAGCATGTCAACAAAACCGAAAATGAATACACACCTTAGCTGCAACCGTGGCTAGGTGTTTATTGTGTAGCCTTTTGGTGAGGAACTGAAGAACAAGCGGAAGGACGTCAGGGTGACAGGCAATCCACTCATTCAATTCTGCTAGCAGCTGGACCGATGTAAATGCCACTTGCATGTGCACTTCATCTGGCTGCTTTAAAACTGCTTCTAAAATAGGTGGAACCACCTCATTCTCCTCCCTGGGATGAGATTGTACCATTAGATTATTGTCAATCCTTCTGACAGAGAGGGGGGGAAAAAAACAAGTTTCATTAAGCTAAGAAATCTATTTCTCCACTAATAATGCTGACTACTTTCTAAATCAAATATCATAATATATTCATATTTACCATGGGTCTAACGCTTAGACAACTAAAAATACTACACCCAAATCTAACAAGTTATAACAATCATCAAGTTTACTGCTGTAACATATATCAAAAACAAAGTATTCACACCTTCAGCTATACAAAATCTTAACCACCTGCAAACCAGTTGGTTGAATTACTAAAAAATCATAACACCAAAAAAATTACATGAAATTATTAATATAACCTCTACATCAACATGCAATTAATCTACTCCATTTCTGCCTTCACCACATCTAATAATTAAGTGTACTTTCCTAAAAATATATCATGTACATAATCATCTTAAAAGTTTCTTACAAATATTGTTTATTGCATACACATTTTTTCATATCCTTTCCATGTAAATATTTCCATCAATCTACCAAAATCAAGCAGACAATTACCTCTTTAAGTTTTCTCTTTTTGTTTTTTCTCACTTACAATCAAACCATATCTTTTTCCTTCACCAAGATCTGTTCATCATTTAATTCCATGCATTCCTCCACCACCTTACTTATTACAGTCTAGATCAAGAGTGATTACAGTCTTTTACAAATCTTTTATTAAATAATCAAAAAGCTTTTGAAAACACTTACGGGACAAGGTTCTTAGCTACACTTTGCATAATGAAAAGTGCAGCTTCAAGAAGGTTCCAACTTTTCGTGACATCTGGGGCTTGCAATATATTCGACATCTGCTGGAAACATGGCTTCGACCCACATATGAATACTACATCCTTGATCAGTTCCTGTACACGCTCCCGAAATTCATAGAAATCGTCTTGTTGTAACAAAATATTCTCCTGCAAGGCACAAGCAGAAACCAATCAATAAAACCTTTTGTGACACACAAACATGAAACTCAATCTCTAACAACAGCGGCAAGCTTAATAAATAACTTCCAGACAGAGATTCACATGTAAACTATACTCACATGGTCAGGTTCAATTTGACAGTGCCGGTACAAAGCTTCTATCAGACGCTCAACATAGGGCTTGAACTGTTCATTCACATTGTCGCAATTCTTTCGATACAATACTTCTGATAATTTGTACCAAAAGTTGAAGGTGATCTCAGCAACCTAATGGAAACCAAATTTCAGATAAATATCAAATTTCTGATGGCAAACATGTAGACAGCTGTATGTCTTTTGCCCATAAGATAACTGAGCAACATTATACTTTTAAACTCTAGACAAGTTACTATGGTGGAACAGTAATCTAATTAGTCTAATACATACAATAACCACAGTAGGAAGAATATGAATAATAACTAAAATAAGAATTAGAACTAGAAAAATAGAATGAATTAGAGTAATAATAATACTGCTAATAATAATATCAATAATGCAAACTAGTTTGATAAGTAAGATGAAGAATAATTAGGATCAGAAGAAGAAATGATGAGATGAGGATGAGATGAACACTTACAATAACAATAAGAAAGAACTGTTCCAAGAAAAAAATAAATTACACAATTGCCAAGGCTAAATCTCACCTCCCAGTCATGATGTCCAATACAAGTGAGAAGCAGATGCAGAACCTGAAGAGATCCCATCCCCTGCCCTGGCTGATCGACCATCACCTCGACCAAAGTTTCTCCAAGTTCAGAGAAAATTCTGTAAGAGTAAAGAAAAAAATGTTGATATCTAGAAATAACATGAAATCATCTCCAAAAGTAGTGGGAGCAAATTATACGAGGATATAACTCCAAAATATACACACAACAATGAATTTCACAATTCAGAATTAGTGAAGAGTATGTATAAAACTTGTAAATTGAAATTGTAAACTAAGACCAAGACAGACACAAAGTACATAAACATATTAATAGATATAAAACAGAATACATAAAAATCAGCTATGCACTACAATACTTGCCTAGCATAGTTGGTGATAGCATTCAGATCTTCCAGTGCTACTGCTAAATGATAAGGTTCACCAAGTTGCAGGACGCCTGCAAATAAAACCTCTGCAAGTGGCTGGATCCGCTCTGCCTCCAGCATGATCATGGCGGAACAGATGCAGTCCGTCGCAATTTCGTGTAACCTGAAAATTTCCATTTCATTGTATTAGTTCTTCCTATGAAAGGGTTACCTAACGGGAAACTGATAATCAGTCTTTCTGTTTGTGAGACTGTTTTCAAAAGCAAGCTTTAATTAATGAAGTATATAAATGACCAACATGAACATGACTTCTTTGGTCACACACACTACTGTAAGCTATTCCAAACATATATCTGTACTACTTTTTTGAAACTTTACTTCATATCTAACATTTTGCAAAAACAAACTCTCCCAAAAAAATGTCAAGTTTTGAATTTTAAGGGCAAGAACCCTCTTGAGAATAATTAATTACAGTCCATTCTGCAATATTCTTACGTGATTCAGTATCTTAATACACTGTCAAGTAACTATATAAAGCAAGTCTGTTGGGGAAAAATCTTAGTTGTTACTTATCATTTTTTCTTCTAACACTTATCATATGTCCTTTCCTCGTAAGTTCCATTAAAAAGAGGAAAAAATCAATAAACAAGCTTTCTAGATAAGAGAGAAAGAGAAAATATGTCAATCCAAGTTATAACCACATTGTGTTGGTCTGCTTGGTTATTCAATTTTCTTCATTTTGGTCTTCTTTTCTTCTTCTCTATGTAGGCTATTTTTTTATTGAAAAAAATCAACATAAAATTTTGTGGAGACTTATAATTTTTCTTTTTTTCAAATTTTTCACTATTTCTGATGATTTTTGGGGGGTTGTTCAAATACTTTTTTTCTAAATGAATCAATAGTTAATTTCTTTAGTTTTCACATGGGAATAATCAAATTTGCATAACATGAATATTAAGTGATCCTATTCAGATACAATGGTACCACGTATTTTCAAGATTTTATAGCATTTTAACATGTCTCAATATTTGTGATCCTATTCAGATACAATGGTACCACGTATTTTCAAGATTTTATAGTTTTTTTTTTCTTTTACAGATATAAACTTGAAATGCTGGGACATCAAAGATAGATTTAAGGATAGTTTTCAATAAAATTTTCAAATCTGACTTTTTTTTAATCCCTCCCCCCCAATTTATGAATAACGGTCCCTTAAAATTTCAGATAATGCATTATTTTTACTGCATATAAAATCACCGAGGTAATGCATAATTTACACCGTGACCCTTAAATATCAGATATTGCATACTTTACACTGTACACAAAGTACTTCAACTATGTACTGTAAATAGCACATATGGTGAAAGTTCAAAAATTCAAATTGCTACACAAATAGCTGAAGCTGTGAGAGGAAAGAATTTTTATTGCATTCATCAAAATATTCATTACAGAACAGCCATATAAACAGTCTTCTACCTCCCAGATATTTACAAAATTTAAAACAAACATGAAAAAGCAAAAAACATTGCTAGCAATAACTGTAGGAAATACATTACTTGACTTACCTTGGAGACACTTGTGGATTACGTACAACACTAAGAATGTCGTTAACAAGGCAGGTGTTAGTGAGCATTACCCACTTTTCGGTGTGGATATTAAACCAGGAAGCAAGACACCTCAATGCTTTTAGATGGGTGCTTTCTTTACTGGCTCCTTCAGTACCCACTGCAACATGCTGCGGAAAGTAAATTTTTTTTAATGCCAAATCCAAATAACATTTTATATAAGCAAATTACTTTCTTTTATTCAATAGAGAGAGAGAGAGAGAGAGAGAGAGAGAGAGAGAGAGAGAGAGAGAGAGAGAGAGAGAGAGAGAGAGAGAGAGAGAGAGAGAAGAAGAGAGAAGAGAGAGAAAGAGGAAGAGAAAAAAAGGAGAGACAAAGAAAAAAGAGAATACAAAGAAAAAAGA